TTTTTGACAGGAAAGAGGAAGAGCTTGATTCGAAAGATGCTATCATACTGCATCAGTTTTCAAGGCCTAGGAATGGTGTTCCGAGTTTATCCCCGTTCTGTCTGAAAATGGAAACGTACTTGAGGATGGCTGATTTACCCTACCAGGTACATTGTGCAGTTTGCCTGTGCACTGCAGCTCTCTGTAATTGCATGAAATGGCACATAAGCATCCTGCCTCACCTCCCCCCAGTCTGTCTCACCCAGGGAGATGTAAACATACACCTACAACTAGGTGGGTATTGCCAATACTTCTATGGCTCCAGTTAAATTTGGTGTATAACATTTAAAGATATGACTTGAATAAGATTAGTCTGGAACAGCTGTAGATTTAATTGGCAAAGCTAAATAAATGTTAAGAAGTTAATTTGGCTGGAAATGCTGAAATGAGAGAGTACTCTGGAGTTGAAAATAACACCCCAAAATTGAACTGTAACACTATTTGATCTTTGAATTTCGCTGCGCTAAAGGCATCAAGATTAGATAGCTGCAGGTTTTTGTTTTTCTGGAAAGCTTGTCTCTGAAGCTCTCCTGGGAATAAGTGCTTACCTTTTGCTTCACCTCCTGTGGCTGATGCTTCCTCCCCAGTGAAGTGAGACAAGATTGCTTTTAGAGGTCATGAATGCTGCTCTCCTTAAGTGTGGTTGGGTGCAGCCCATGCCATCTTGCTGCAGAGGATGAAGCCTGAGCTACTTCAGTGAATGAAAACTGTGAGAGTGGAAACTTGAATCTGGCGGTCTTGTCCATTAGCATCGGGGTTGAGTTGGGATGCTGCACACCTTGGTGTGGTGGTGGCAGGCTGTACAGCACAGGGGCTCTTTGAGACATGTTTCCTTTTTTGTGTAAAGCACTGAATGYCTTTAAGATGATGAAATAGTGGTGATGTATGTAACTAAGATCTTAGGCAGAAGAAATGTCTGGATTTTTTTTCCTTTTTTCTTCTCCCTTTGTTTTTTCCTAAGTGATGTAAATTTGGCATTTTCCTTTGTCTCAGAGTCTCAGATGTGGATAAGTTCCATGCTCTGCCCCCATGGGTTCAAGTCACTTCTTACTGCTGTGTACCAAGGCGTTAGGAAGAAYGTTTTGTATTTGTCCAGTTTTATACAGATGAAAACCAACCCTATTACAACTTTTTTAAAAACACATTCACATGAATTTAGCTTCATATGTGCTTAAACTCCTTTACATTGGAAGTGAAAGAAAGCCTAATTAGTGCATTTTGCTTAATTCTTTAAAAGTCTGCGTTTAATGTTTTCTTGCGGTTTAGTGGTACTTGAATCACATCCTTGGRAGCACTAAAGAGGAAGACTTTCATCCTGTGGGGTGTGTTTTTCTCATTTAGGTTTACAGAACATGCAAGATTCTGAAGCTTGAATATGTCCTTGGAGCAGGAGGACTTGGTGCACATTGCTTCTCTCAAAATAGTGTGGGTAGAAATTGCATGTTTGAGGGGATGACTCTTTTGGTGAGATCTGTTTTCTTTCTAAYGGCAGCTGATGCAGTTCAAAGGTTTGTGATGGTTGGGTTTGCTCTGGTGGAGAATAGCTAAAGAAAGCTGCATTATAAAGATGGGTTGTGACAGGACGTGGTCACTTCTAGAAGATAACACAGCATTTGTTTAATTCAGGATGGAGTCCTTTAGAGAGCTCATGCTGGTCAGAAGTCAACCAGCTTTTTGGAGAGAGAGTAATTTCCAGAGGATTATCCTCCACTCTTTATTTTCTGTACTGAAGGTCAGCTCTGTTTTTTGGTCTTGGATCTCTCTTTACCTCTACTTGCTAGCTGTGAGCACACTGACTGACAAGACCATCAAAAGCAGCAGTCCTGTCTTAAGCTGCTTCTTGTCCCTTCCTGCACGTTTTTCTGTGGTAGCTCAGGCTGATCAGAGCTGGCCTAGCTAGAGCCATGAAGGTTTAGTTTATTTGGTTTTAATTCAGCTTGGTTCCTCACATGCTCTGTGTGCAATGCTGCAGAAGTAGAAATGGGTCCCACAGAAGCTGGGAATGCCATGTTGCTGCTTTTAGCAGCTGGCTTATGTGGGCTTAAGGTGTTTGTGGGGTTACTGACCCACTGAAGGGTTTTAGAGRTAAGTTTGGTGGAGCTAAGCTTATGAGCTGAAGACACAGCTCTCTTTTCCCGGAAGAAGCAGTTGTTGTGGAAGTCCTTGTGTTAGGAGAATGGTGCTTCATTGGGCTCTGGCAGGTGGAGGGAGGTATGGATGCTGCAGGGGGATTGAGTGGGAGGGGAGCAGAAGGGGGCACTGTTCTTGGATGGAGTTTCTTGTACTCTGCCTGTAGACTTTTTTCTTGTTTCCTCATGACTGATACCTGTAGGATGCTGAAGGTGACAGAGGCAGCCATCTGATGGCAGGCGGCAGGGTGGGTGTTTAGGGGGCTACAGCAGGATCCAGAAGGAAAACACCTTKCTTCCCTGCACGCTGTCAGGGGCCATGATGGAGAAGTGCTGCAGGTGGCAGCTGGTGCTCATCCCAGGAGACCTGCYGTGGTCATCACCTTGCTGGGAAGGGGCTGCTTCAAAGTGAGTGTTAGGAAATCGAGTGAAGAGAAGAYAGTGAGGTGCTCAGACAGCTTTTACACTTTTGATTCCTTGTGTTTATTGTAGTGCATTAGACTGTTGAATATTGTGCTGGGTGTTACACAACCTGCTTTAATGGCATGTGAGGATTGGAGTAGAGTGACATATTCCTACCTTACTCTCACCCAAATTTCTTCCAGCACATGCGCTCGTTTCATGTTTTCTTTTCTTGCGCTCTTTTACATTTTCTGGAAGCTGCCTTTCTGCATGCGAGTTCTCCATAAAAAATGGTTTGGGCAGCCCCACCCTGGTTGTGCTATCGTAATGCCTAGCTGGGTTTTTAAAACATTTGATGCTTTTCTTGRTAAGGCTTGTTTTGAAAGAGCGCCTTCTGTGTGCTTATGGAGATCTTCTGGGTATTCCTTGATTTCCTCAAGAATATGAAGAGCCAAGCCTTTATGTAATGTGATAAATAATTTGCACCACAGAAATGTGCTGTTTTCATGCCAGGTCTGTGGAAATGGTTGCCTGCTTGGGAAAAGACATGAATGAAAATATAATAATAAACAGCAGTAATTGAAAATGTGAAATCTAATTTCTTCTGGATAGTACTATAAAATTACGCCAGAAGTACCTTATGCCTTTTTATAAATTTCTCTATAAATGAGGTTCTGTGGAGCTATTGTTATTGTTGCTTTGCAGGCACTTAATGTCCTGTGAGATATGAGGGCATATTCTGTTGGTTTGGTTTTGGTTTTTAATAATACCATAGCTTTTCCCTGCTTAGCAGCTGGAACAATTTTTAAGTGGAAAATTGATAAATATTTGATAGCAATTAGTATCAAGGATACAAAGGTTTCAAGCCTGAAAATGCCCATTTGAGAACAGTGAATACGAGAGCAGTATAACAGATTTCTCAAGATACTAAGGTTTTCTCAGGTCACTGTAAAATATTTCCTGTTTTGTTTGATAAATCTTATGTAATGAAACATGAAAAATGAAAATCTTTTTAGGCCATGCATTTATGTGTATTAGATATATGTGCTTGAAGAAATGTGCAGCTGAATACTAATAACTTGCTTTTCTCAGGGTTGCAAATGATATGGACTGCAGTAATTGCAAGATGTAATAAACACATCTTCAAGTCCAGGTTCTTCTGCAAAGCATAAGTTTGTGCATGAGAAGAGAAATAATCATASTGAAAGGGCTTAATGAAGATTAAGCCAGCAGTGCTCGTTGTCATCTAGACACAGTGTAACTCCAGGAAATCCTTGTGCTTCTGTAATGAAGTCACAGTGAAAAATTCTGGATATGTATCAGTCAGTCTCAGTGCTGAACGACCATTTTTGCTGAAGGAAAGGTCTTGGAAGCTGGGAAGATAGGGCAGTGCTCTCCTTTCAGTTTCAAACATTCAGCGATTTTCAAGTTTGTGCCATGGATTTGGCCCCCATGTCACCCGCACATGCACGTGGGAGGGATTCGGGCACTTTATTCACCCACTCAGGGGTGTGGTGGATGAGACATGACATAATCCAGTGTCCCTACCATGCTGTTTGCYTGGGCACAAGCCCTGGAGGAGGCTACAGCCAGAAGGTATTGTTTCCCAGAAACGTTGCCCATTTGTTTCCATCGGGAAGGGAATCGTAGTGCATTGCACATCTGCGTTTGGGGTGGCAGCCAGGATGCTGGCGCTCTCAGACTGAGCTGGAGGCGTGTCCTGGTGAGCRCTCCTTGCTSCCAGAGTACCTTAATCCATTTTAARTGGATTCGGGAAGGGTAAATACTTGAGACCCAAACAGATCAATCCAGAACTGCAAACCCTAAACCTACAGCAGTTAGGAGCTAGGTTCTGAAATGCTTGGGGTCACTGCCAGAGACTTGAGTGCAGAGCCTTTGCTGTGAGCCTTTACGATTCAGCCTTCTGAGCTAGGAGTTTCCATTCACTAAATAACAGGATGCAAGGATGGGAATCACAAGAAAGGAAGAAAGTTGTGTCATGTGTCTCTGCCTTCAGTATTAAGAGAATTGAAGACAAATGTCTGATCATGTTTTGGCACTTCCTTCATGCTTGTTACATGAGACGTAAATTCTCYAATCTCTGTGTTTCACCTTCTCCAGTGGAAAAAATACATTGCTGCTTCTGTGTGAGTGCTATGCTGAGCAGGCATATGCAGTATGCAGCAATGCAGTAGTGCTGTACTGTGCAGGGCTCTTGGGAGACTGAGCTGTAACAAATATATGTTCAAATGTCTGAGATTCTGAGTTTTGAAGTTGCAGAAAACAGATTTCCCTTCTGCCCAAGAAGGGAATGATATGCTTTTCATATGTGCCTCTGATTCTTTATGTTTTGTCCTTGGAGGTAATGCAGCCATTTGAGCTGGGTACTGAATTAATTTTTTTAAGRAGTTCTTTTAACATGAAAAATGCAGATGTGTGCAGGAACTGAATTTAGTTGTGAATCCTGTGATTTAAAACTTGTTTCAAATAACAGGCCCAATCTTCTGGGAGAACTGAGCATCCCCACCCTTAAAAACCCAGGTATTTAAATAATACCATATCACATGACATTCAGCATAAAAGCACGTAACATCTTGCAGGGCCTGCAAATAATTTAACTTAATTGTCATGTAGGGTAAAGCTGCTGCTCTGATTGAATAGCCACTATTACTCTGGATTATTAATAAAAAAAAGGTTGTTTGATTTGATCTGTTTCTTTAAAAACGCAGGATATTATTTTAAAAATCATTATTCTCATTGAARCAGAACCTGAAGGGCCTTTTTGTCTGTATGTTTGTTTGTTTACTTGATTTTTTTTTCTTTTTGTCTTAGAACTATTTTGATGGAAAACTTTCCCCTCAAGGGAAGATGCCTTGGATTGAATACAATCACAAGAAAGTATCTGGCACCGAGTTCATTATTGACTTTTTGGAAGAGAAACTTGGAGTGAATTTAAATAAACACCTTGGTCCTCATGAAAGAGCTGTTTCCAGAGCTGTGACCAAAATGGTGGAGGAGCACCTGTACTGGTAAGCTGCATTGCAAAGCTGGCTGTGTTCTTGTGCTGTCAGATGTGCCTCTGAGCTTGGGCCTCAACATGAATGCTTATTTTCTCTTGCAGAAATCTTGGGTACCTAGTTACTAACTTCACACTATCTTCATCCTAGAAAACTGCTGCTTTCTGTGTACAGTGGTATGAGCCAGGGAAAATTCYCTTGAGAAGCTGTTGTGCTGTGTAAACAAGGTGAAGTCAGGCCCTTTGACTGCAGCTTTGTAGAAGGAAGCAGCAGTGGGATGCTTCTCTGTCCTGTTCGATGTGACATCCATGTAGATGCAGCCTTGTTAATAAAGGCTAAAAGATCAAGGTGGCTGAGTACATTTGTGGTTTGGGGGGCATAGAGGAATGAATCCAGTGTTTTTGGTGAATCCAGAATATTGTTTTCTTACTTTTACGGATTTTAATTATGTGTGAGTGATTACAGTACGGATCAGTGCCTTTCCTGTAACACAGGATACTCCTGTTGGTTTATGTTGTTGACAMTACTGCCAACTGGTACTGCACACCATTAGTCACAGTATCCTGAGAAGCTGAAGTGTGTATATGAATGGAAAATAGAAATAGAACCTTTCTGGTACTTTATGCMTTTTACTGACACCTTTGAAGATAGTACCTGTGATTTCCCCCATCCTTAACATTTCAGTTGTTTTTAAGTGCCCTTTCCAGTGTGGGCATAGAAGCGTCAGGTGGACATGCATCTTGGATGCTGCATTTGCTGCCCTAGCAGGCACAAGGCTTTTTCTCAATAGTTTGTTTCCTGGTATGCATTTAAGTCCTTGCTACATTAAGTTTTGCATTTATGTTGCACTTTTTTTCTTCAAACCAATGCATGATTTCAAATTGAATTTTCACAAAGCATTTATCTGCTTTTTCTTTCACCTCATGATTGAAGACTAGCAGTAACATGTACATATAGCTCTTAAGATAATTTTTGGTGTCTCCTGAGAACAATTTTGGCATTCAGTAATTAGGAGATTGAAGTGGTTTTGTTTAGAAAGGAAGTCTCTGCCATCCAAGAATTTGCCTTCACCAGTTATACCCATCTGCAGTGTCACAGCCTCCAGAATCTGATACAAGCAGCCTGTAAATTAACTTTTTTTTGTTTATTTTTCCACCCTCAGTTATTACAGCTGCCAAAGGAAGGATGAAGCCTTTTAGTGCTCTAATGCTTCATCTGCTTGCCTTTGTGTTGGTTGTTTCGTGGTTCATAGATTTAACTGTGTTAAATGTATCATTACTGATGGCAAGCTTATACTGCTGYTGTGTCTCAGTTACAAAGTGCTTTCCTCTGTGAAGCTGTTGTCTGTCCATCCAGGCTCCCTTGGAGCTGACTTGGCACTGCAGGACATAACATATGTGAGTGGAGAGGTCAGATATTGCAAGTTCAGGCACTGGGCTGGAGAGGGGGCATTAAAATGGGTGGACAAAGTTACATCCGGAACAGAGATGTGCATGCCTGGYTGTGTATCCCTGTTGCCTTTCCTGTGTAGTCGCACAGCTGAGTTCCTCCAAGGCATATATTTTTGCTGCAGTGCAGTAAAAAGTCCGACTGTAAGTCTTACTGTATTCTCTGTGTACCAAAGGCTCCCTGTGTTGGTGAGGTTRTACCATGCAGATTCCTTGTAGAAGRAAGAGCCTGATCCATGAGGCATTGCAGTTATACTGCTGTAATTCCTTGAGAACAACTTTGACCATCCTGTAGTTACACCAAAATAAAATCAGGCTTTCTCCATGTGGGACCATGTTTGTCCTTGACAGCATTGCACCTGTGGTTGTGGGATCCCTTTACATCCGTCCCTGAACCTTCCCACTTCCCGCCAGAAGCTTAGGGGGTTTGCTCATGGTGTCCTTGTCCCATGGTGAGGAATTTGGAACAATGATTGCCTTTCTGCAGAATAAGGTATATAAAACCAAGCCTCCAGAGCAGTGATACATGTAGTGATTCCTACTGTTTCCTTGCCAGTAGCGTGCAAAGTACCTTCATCATAAGTAAGTGATACAATAGTACATTTATTGGACAAAGAAGAAAAGTACATGTTGTGGTGTGCTGTCTCTCAGTGTGGAGCTGATCCTGATGGCTGCTCTGCGTTTCCTCCAGAAATGTTTAGGTTTGCCAAGGCAGTTGCTATCCTCACCTTTAGATGATAGTTAGTGCCTCTTCCAGGTGGAAGTTTGGCTGTTCTGGCTGGAGCTGACAGCAGTGCAGGGCTGTTGAGAATCTCGGCCTCTGGACACCCTCTCTCTGCCCTGGGCTGCAGCACCCGGCAGGGCTCAGGCAGAAAGACATCAAGCCAGTGTATCTATTTCTGTGCTGGGACTAGACCATATCTCTGAGAAGGACAAGACTGATTTGGAGCTGGTGCTGGAGCTCCAGTCCCAGGAGAGTGCAGTAAACCATTAGGCTTTTGCTATGTTAAATTGACAAAAGGAAAAAAGTCTTCTAAAGCTGAATGGGTGATGGGGTGAGCCAGCAGTGAAGAGATAAATATGGAACAGTTTTGTGGATCTCACCCCAGTTTTCCTGGACCTGTGCAGTCCTCTGTCATCTGCTCTAGGCTTTCTCTGGGTCARCGCCACTGCCTGCAGTGACATGTGGGCTGTTCGAAGCCAGTGGGGCACCCCCAGCCACCTTCAGAGAATGCATTGAGTTTTGGTGTAACTGCAGCGTGTTTGTGGGATTGGACTGCTGGTTATAAGAGGTCTGATTGTCACTTCCTTCTGGAGCTGGCATGCTGGGCTCAACAACACTCCTGGGATTGAGGCCAGGCAGCTCCTGGTGCCTGGAGGGCAGCACTCGCTGCGAGATGTTTTCTGTCACTTCGATCTTGGGAGAGGGATCTTAGGTCAGTGACACTAATGTGCTTAGTGAGAACATAAAACCTTGAGTATTCAGCTTAAGCAGACTAACCCATTAGAATGGTTGAGCTGTGTTATCAAACACAACGGTAGTGATTTACAAATGTGTGTGTATGTATGTATATATATCTTTATGTATACACGCTTGCAAATATATTTGACTTGTTTCTTGCTTTGTCTTTCRAGAAGCAAACCTCATATGTGATGAATGCTTGAAGTATAGGAAGAACATGGTATGAGAACACAGATGAATCTGACTTTAGTCAGTATTCATATTTGCCATGTATTAAACATAAAATATTTATAATGTAAATATGTTTAAATCCATCAAGTCAATTTTAAGAGCAGTGTCTTTCCTACTGCTAACAATGATGAAGTTTGAATGCCACTGATGGCTTAAAAGCCAGTAGTTCTGAGTAGTCACACAGCAGGTGGGGTTTCTACTGMTTGTGGAAAGAATTTGTTAGAATCATTTTGTATATCAAGAAGTTCTAGTCAGCACAGGTTCAGATAGGAAAAATAACCCCCGGTTCACATTCTTGTGAATGTCTCCCCCTTGCCTTGAAGTTCAGACAGTTTTGGRATAATCAGGCAAGCTGCTGTTGATGAGTCACTTTCTTCATTTCCTYGCCTGATTTATGTATTGAGGCCAAAGCCTCTGTTACATTTAAGACTTCRGATTTACTTCACTCCCTCAGCATTGCTCTTTAATGTGTTATTGTTTTATTTATACTCTTAAATTTGTACAGATGTGCTGGCACAAATGCGAATGTTSATGTTTTCCAAAATGCGAATGTTCAGGCCAATATTTTAAATAATTGTGTCATCCCGTAAATACTCTAAAATGTACAGTTATGCTGTACTGAAGTAGATTATATAGACTACCCAATTTGTGGCATTTCCTAACCTTTTGTAATATTGATAATACTCCACTAATATATATTACATATATATGTAATATTGATAATACTCTACTAATAGTAGTCTGAGCAGAGGAGTGATGGGTGGAATAAACGCTGAGAAGCATGTTTTGGTAGAAAACACAAATTATTGAACCTTTGAATAGAATTCTTTTAATGAAGTGCTTGTAAAGCTAGTTTTAAAAGTGTTTTTAAACTCTCCCTGCATTGGAGCCTACTTTTTTTCTTCTTTTGTATACTCAGAACTTAAAATTTTGGAAGCAAACTCTGTGATTGTCTATTTAACTGCCTTCATTGCCCATGTAAATTTGAGATTTGGGACATGTAACAGTTCTGCTCATTCAAAGTGACAAGCAGATGTCTTAAGATTTGCGCTTGATAGTTTAGCCTGAGCAGGATTACCTAAATCCTGTGCAGTTCTCTGTTGCTATCCTGATCATTAAACACCTGATCTGATTTCTGCCTCTTCCAGACCCAAACACCTTCTCTCCCAGGGCAAGTAAGTGAGCTCTAGGGAAATGCATTTTTGCTTTAAAGTATYGGTCAATTAGCTTTGTGGGAAACCTTGTTCATTCTGTTTTATGAAATTAAAACCATTTTGGACATGGTTGATCACTCTTGGTGCCKTGCCAGCTCGCTGGTGTGGTTGGAGTGAGCAATAATGATGGCAAGCCTGTAGGCCAGGTTTAGTCTTGTGGAACTGGGGTGACTTAAAAAATGCTGCAGTGAAGCATCCTGTRKTTTTTTTTYYCCATTTTTAGCTTCTTTTTCTTGTYKTCCTTYTCCAGGCAAGGCCTGTTGTCCTAAAGCGACTAAACTGTATTGCAGAGTTGGCAGATGAAGCAGGTCCATCCTGGGGAAGGAGGGTCTTGGCAATAAGACGGAGCAGTGCTTTCAGAGAGCAAGATTTTCTTAGCTTATTCAAATAATATCTTACGGACTGGGAGAAGAACTCATTGAGAGCAGCCCTATGGACAAGGACTTGGGGGCTCTGGTGSATGAAAAAACTGGACATGAGCCAGCAGTGTAAGACAGCATCCTGGGCTGCACCGAGAGAGGTCAAGGGAGGTGATTCTCCCCTTCTACTCTGTGGTTGTGAGACCCCACTTGTTTCCAGCTCTGGGGTCCCCAGCATGAGAAAGATCTGGACCTGTTAGAGCAGGTCCAGAARAGGCCACAAAGATGATCAGAGGACTGGAGCACCTCTCCTRTGAAGACAGGCTGAGAGASCTGRGGTTGYTCACCATTAAGAACAGAAGRCTCCMGGGAGACCTTRTTGTGGCCTTCCAGTACTTAAACAGGGCTTGTAAAAAAGAGGGAGGGTAGATAGTGATAGGACAAGGGAGAASAGTTTTACACTGAAACAGMAGAGATTTAATTTAGATKTTAGGAAGAAGTTCTTTACTTGAAGGGTGGTGAGGCAYRGGTTGCYYAGAAAARTTGTGGATGCCCTATCCCTGGAAGTGCYCAAGGCCRGGATGGATAGGAYCCTGAGCAACCTRATTTAGTGGGTAATACCCCTGCCYATGGAGTGGGCATCCCTGCAGTGGACATSTAGTTGGAAGTAGATGATTTTYAAGGTCMTTTCCAAYCCAAGTCATARTATAGTMATTATCTCCTAATTTTCRCATYGAGAGTTCTTCCTATTCAGAGCTGTACCTGCTGAAGGGACCTTGTCCTTTGCCAGGTCTGTGAAACGTGACTACTGTGGTGTTCTGCGTTGTAGAGTTCCCTTATGCTTTCAGCCCAGCCTGCTTTCCATCTGTCTTAAATCCTGTTTTACCTCTGTTCCTGCATCTTCCAGGCAAAGTCAATGCTCTAGGCTCTTCACTGCTGTGCTTGTTGGCTTCTCATTCCTCCTGTATTGCTGGTGCCTYTGCTAAATCTGGCTCTGACTCAAACTTTGCATTGCTGAAACCTGCTCAATGACTTAAGTTCGTCCATCAGGTTTGATAAACTAGGATTGTGCAGAACACCCCATTTGAAAAGTGATACTGAAGCATGTGAAGCGTCAGCAGGATGCTTTTGTTATAATTTACAGTGCAAGAGGTAGTGGAGAAACCTGTTGAGGGTAAGAGCCATTGGTAGCAGAGCAGGGGCTTTTTTATTCTTCTTACCTGTTAATACATTTGCAGCAAAACCTGTTCACACCTCCTTGTTACTGACTTCAGTGAAACCAGATAGAGCAGAAAGCATTGAACTGCAACGGACAATGCGAATTTGCTAAAATGTACATCATGAAAAGAAGCCACAGGACTTTTCCAGGAGATAGGTTTTTTTTTTTCTTTCCTTTCTTGAATTAGGTGAAACATATCAGCACTAAGGAAATTGTATGGAGCTGGAAATATGTACAGTGATAAAGTCATATTTCAAATTAAAACAATGAAGCCTTGGAATGGCTTGGAATGGAATATGTGTGTCAATTCCCAGTATTTCTGAGACCCTGCAGGCTTCATATGTTTATCTTGTCTACTTTGAGATGTCTAGCCTTTTTTCCAACATCGCTTGAACTTGGTGACAAAAATTATACATRTGGTCTTTCTGGTTTATTTGTAATTTCTGAAGATGCTGGATATTAAAAAAAACTTAGTGTTGCTTTTTTTCACAAGTTTCTGGAGTTGCAACAGCAGCAAATCAAGTTATGTTTGACCATAGTATTAGTAAGGAACAAAAACTCAAAAATGTAAGCTGGTGAGACAAACTTTTTTGAAAAGACTTAAAAAAAAAAAAGTATTGTTTGCCTTTCAGTAAAGTATGGAAGGGAACAAGTCCTTTGGAAATGTCTGTCTCATAAAATCAGCATTTTGAAGAGAGGAAACGCTACAGGAGTAAACCAATCCAATAACCACTRCCTTTTAATTTTTAAATTTAATTTTTWAAAGATGGTGTTATTCTGAGTTTTCGAGGAGAAGAGAGATATGAAAAATTACTGCTTCAGTATAWATGTTACTGCTTGCCTAAGTGTCAGCAGTATAGAAAGGAGAAAGGTTGGTGGGAAAGACTGATTTCTTTGGGGGCTGTTTTGCTATTATTTTGCTCAGGTCTGTGCAGTGAGCCATCTTTAGCTAATAAATCTGTTTGGCACTGCATTTGGTCACACGAGTTTAGCAGAATTCTGCAGCTTTACTTTACTTTTCAGCATGAATCTTGTTTTCTCCTGAAACAAATAATAATTTAATGAGAGAAAAAGCACTGGGCAGTCTGCCTAAGTACTGCAGAGTGAGTTTGCTCTGCTGGCACTCTTGAGTTGCCTCAGGGTCTGCTGTTTATGGAAGCTACGTCTCCATCAGGGCAGTGAGTGYTCACCTGCCTGACCCCTTCACAGTGTGGTGTTGGGCTCTTTGGGAATTACACTGTTGTAACTTGTTTCTGCATCCTTCTAGGACTTTAGCTTACTGCCAGTGGGTGGAAAATCTTCATGAGACGCAAAAGATGGTTTCGCTTTTTGGCCCCTTCAGYGACTTGCTGAAGTGGATCTTCTGCCATCTGACCAAAGGAATYGTGAAGCGGGAAATGTACGGCCATGGCATCGGGCGCTTTTCGGAGGAGGAGATGTACACACTGATGGAGAAGGACATGCGGACTCTGGCAGGCCTCCTGGGTAAGGTACAGCGAGTTGTGGGGCTCTGTTCACAGGCMCTCTCTCCACAGGGTGGAATTGACCTCCAGTGCTTCCTGACAGCTTGATCACACACAAATAATCTCATTTTAGCAGACGTTAGAGGCTGTTATTCAGTGCCTTCCTTGCTCTGTTTCTTTTCCCATGTTTGCTGCCAAATTGTGTGTCTAGAGGCATAAGAGRCTTCCTTCTCTGAGCATTGAGTTATGTCTGTGTAGAGGAGCAAAATGTGGCCTGCAGTTTTGGAAGAGCATTTAGCAATATGAAATTAGGAAAATGTAGTGTTTAGTTGTGTAAATGAARCCTTTTATTTATACCTTTTTTTGGGGAGGGGTGGGGTGCGTGTCTAATTCTTTATTTCCTGGCTGTATTTCCTTTCCTGTTTTTTTATTTGTGGCTGTTTGACTGTTATGAGACTGCCATTTGAAAATCCTTTGCAGATACTATTTTGATGAGCTGAACTTTGTTTTATTTGGTTTGTGTCAACAGCTTTATTCAAARCTCCTAATAGGAGATAGCTCTGTGTTGCCAAAATAGGTGGGTTTAAGCTTCTTGGTTATCTTGGGTGGATCCCATAGAGTTATTCTTAAGGTTGAYTTCACTTAGCTAAAATTACATGAACCTCATTTCTGTTGTGTGGCTCAGGCTGAAATCTTTGCTGGAGCTCTTTTGCWCTGTGCTTCTTGCCTTCTCGTCCACTGAGAGCTGAGCATATTGTGTATCTGTGTAAAACTTGTGTTTTGAGGAATTGGTGTGGGGCAGAGTGTCACTTCTCTTTAGCTTGTATCTCCCAGAGAGATGGTACCTGCGTGGTTGCTTTGTTCCCTGTGCTTTAAAGAGGTGGCTGAGTGGAGGACAGAAGGATTCCTCCCTAACCTGTGCTCCGGAGGGAGGACACATTGCACATGCTCTAAAGAGACAAGTGTGGAGTGGATGAGGGGAGCAAGCTGGGGAGAGCCCAGCAGAAGGCAGGAGCTGAGTGCTTGCTGGAAAAGGCAAGGAAAAACATACTTCTGGATTTCCAAACTGTTCTGGAAAGGAAGGTGTTTGCAGTGGACCTAGATGGGGCGATGTAGAGATTTCTGCTACTTTGTTTTCTGAAACAAACCTGCCAAGTTGCTGGATTGAGAGCAAGATGGAAAAAAAGACGTGGTGCATGGACACAGTGGGCAAGGGGGAGATTTGTTGACTGCTTCTCTTTTGACAGTGCTTTCTCATGCTGCATTTTGTTTGTTAACAGAAACAATTACCTATTTTAGTGCCTTTTCAGAGACAATCTGTTGTTTGGAGCTTAAGASAACCCTTTTCTTTTAGAGGGAGGAAGGGAGGGAGCAATTCATTATAGAAGAGGAGGTTTGGTCATACCTGCTGCAGAACTGTGGCCAGCTCAAGGTACTCTCCTCTGTGGAACTACTGATGCTGTAGTTTTGAGATTGGCACTGTGTGGCTCCATGCTTATCACCAGGAGGAGTGGATTTGGGACAGGAGCTGGAGCAAATTCAGTCTGTGACTCARTAGGTCAGCAAAGCCCCGTAGTTCTAGTTAGGCAACTCTGTCAGACTGAAAGGAGTGGCAGTGGGTATGTCTGTGCCAAGAGCAGRCAGAACCTTTGAGAGAAAACTAAAATTTGTGCCTGAGTACCATAAAAGTCTCTTGATTTGCCTATTTCTCTGGAGTCTATACTGATAGTCAGATTTGTAAGATTTCAGGTTTAAAGGATCATCTAGACAGATCTCTGTGAATCAGACTGCTTGGTTGCTGTCTTGAGGCCTGTGCCTTTTTGCTGGCTTGGGGRTGGCTTTCTAAAAGCCATCCAGTTGTAATTATGAGATTTCAGCAGGTGGAGGTGCCACCACTTTCATTAGTTGTTACTGGCACGTGTTAGTCACTATCTAAATCTGTTCAAAATTGGGCTTGTTTCAAATGAGAGTTTGTCCATTTCCAGCCTTTAGGCAGATGCTCTTCCTAGTTCTTCCTCCCTTCCTTGGGTGTTCTTCCTCCCTTCCTGGATGGCTTGGGTAATTTCCCTGTGAAGCTAAATGCTATAGTCTGTCTGGCTTTTGCAGAAAATGCACTGGAAATCTTCAAGCACTTCTTCACTATATCTAATTTTTTAATTGTATTATACATGTTTTACCAGCAATTTTTCTTCTTAATTCCAGAAGTGCCTGTGTATTCAAAAAGCCTTGATGGGCATTGGTTGTATTCCTCTTATTTTATTATATTATCAGCTGAATTTGGTACATTTTCTTCATCTTCCCCTCTGAAATGGATGTCAGATTAGTCAGTGTGTGGTTATGTGAATCATTATATTTTCCCTTTTGATTATTGGTGAGTTTGTCTGCTTTTCTGTAATTGCCTTGATTTTCATTAACAGTAGGCTCATGTTTTCTCCAGCCATCTGTTTATAGTTGGGTCTAGTAACTGTGGCCTCCAGGTAGTATCCTGGAATGGGGACAGGAGGTGGGATGAAGACTTCCAGCCTGAMTAGAGGCTCTCCTGTTTCAAAGAGGGAAGGAGAAGGCAGTGAGTCAGCTTATTGCTTGCACAATCTTTTTGAGATTCCCCTCCATATATATGTACCCAAGTGTTTTCCCAGAAGAGGAAACAGTTGGGATTTTGSCTGTTATTTTAAGAGCTTAAAAATTATGCCTATGGTGCAGAATAGCTGCACATACCAAACTGTAGTTGTCTGCCATCAGGCATATTGGATTAATGCTCCCCTTTTTTAACAGGGACCATTCACAGGGGAACAAGAATAACTTTAAATCCTGAGAGCTGCTTCCAGAGAATGCTAACTTTGCAGCTGCCAGTTCTTATGACATTCATTTTAATGCTCCCAATCACATCTTCGGTRCCTTTTTTATTTTTCCTTTGTTTTTATTTCTGGGAATTTTTTATCTCACTTATACCCATTTCCCTGATAGACTACGCCGGATCTCTTATAAACATAGAAATTGGATCTAATCCCATTGTGATGGAGCAGTCTGTCCCATTGGTATAATCTTTCTCTCTGTCCYGCAGTCTTTAAACCACAAATGTAATTTCCTTGTATTGTAGCAGTTTCCTGCTGCCTGGTAATAGTGTAAGAAAGTGTGGGRAATGAGCATATGAATTAGCAATATATAAAAATACACATTTTGGTAATTGTTTAGAAGAGACAAGTGAGYGAGCATACATCTGTTGGTGCCCTCTCAGCTGTCTGCCTCTCAAGCTTTTTTGGCAGATGGGGATTTTGAGCAATGAGTTGCTGAAGTTGATTTTGAAAAGCATTTGGTGCTTTGTGGAAGGTAGGGGTGCTCAGAACTGAAAACACAGAGGTTTTACTAACCTGAATGTGAGCCTCTAAAATTATTTAAGTGYCCTGTAGCAGCCTGCAAGTGCTGTAGATGCCACTGTGGAAGGGTGCAGGTCTTCTGCCTGTGCCTACAGTTTCTTGATGGGGTTTCTCAACCCAGTGCTGAAGTAGTTGCTTTTGAATCCTCCAGTGCATGCATTTGTAAATAGGGGAGCTGAGTACTCTCAAATTCCTGCGCAGTACGAAGTTGATCCAAGTGTGACCASGTGATTTCATTGCTGTCGGATTAGCCAGGGGATGCAGAGAGGTGTTTGAGATGACCAGCTCTATGGAAACCTTGATGTGACAGACACTGTGYAATCTTGCCTAAAAATTGACACAGAGATATCTGGTCTATCAGAAAGTCTTCTGGACTAAAGTTCAACTGCAATTTTTGAGAACAGATTGGAGAAAATGGGTGCAGATGCTATATTTTGTGGTGCAGCATGACTTAAAATCAGATTTAGAGTTTTATGATCCCCCAGTTTCATTTTCTCCTCTTCTATTTGTTTCTGAAGTTATGGGGTGTTGTGCCTGGGGAGCTAGAGGGTGGGATGGTTTAGCCCWTATTCACTGCCTGCTTTAGTTGTAGCAAGATGGAAATTACAGTATTCCTTCCCAGCACAATATCACTATGGATTGAATCTCAAGACCCAGTTGTATGGTGCTAAATTCCTGGTGCTGGCATGTAACTGTGGTTTAGGGACCAATTTTTGAGCTGTATTTGAGATTGATGAGTGCTTAGGTGTCAGATAAGTACAGAAAAGATACAACATTTACCCAGTTTTCAGACAATACAGTGATGCAACTGTGAAAGAGCTGGGGAGAGTTAACTCCAAGTTCAAATGACATCTGACAGGCCAGAGGTTATTGTCACTGGCTATTCCTGAGCACTGCTTTGCTACGTTCTTGTGCAGGKGATTGGCAGCATTCCTTCTACTGTACACTGGAATTTGATGCATTTTMCTCTGGACAGTTCCTCTAGACTTGCTCAGTAAACCTAACATTGAACAACCTGCTGAATTACAGGCATCTTGGAAGAATGTCCTGGGGAGATGGGATAACTGGATTTTGAGAATTCAATTAGGTACCACATTTCCCAGAGTTTATAGCACTTCAGGTTGAGGCAGGAACAGTACAACAACCTAACCTGACCTCTGCAATACTGCATGTTTCATTGTGTGCTCCAGGTCTCCTGCCTGTGATGGGAAAACAAGTTTATAGTGGATGTTTTGTTGCAAACAGTGGCTTTGAAACACTTATTTTCTTCCCTGTCTTAGTTACCCATCTGTTTGTGCTGTGGTGGCTGTTTAGAGTCATTGGGGTGCCCAGACCCAGATAAGCAAGCCGAATAGCTGTATGGAGCAGACATGTYCCACCTCTCCACCAGGCCAGTCCCAAAGGGCTGCTGTTTCACTTCTTGCCTGCGTGCCTGACACGCCTCTATTTGATTTCTACCTGTCAGGGATCAGTGGGGGTGAGGGCACTGCAGTGGTGGTATGTGACAGGAACCTGTTCATTCCTGCCTATGGCTYTGTCCTCTTCCTGGAGATTCAGGTCATCTCACTGGTGCATTTGTTTCATCCTGAACAAATAGGGAGAGAGGAAAACTTTGGGTTTGATTTTTCTTTTTCCAGCTGATTGGATGAGTAAATTGAACCAGAATCTGCATGGATGAGAGGTAATTGGTGAGCTTCATTCAGCAAGTTCATGATTTTGAGTTGTGGTTGAGCGGTTTTGGATTTGCACCAAGGTGAAAGTGGTGCTGTCAGGCATCTTGTAGCTGCAGAGCAGWTTTTAAATGCAGCAGAACTAGTACAGTGTGTGAATGCTGCCAGCTGTGAGGAGCGGAGGAGGTTCCTTGGCCACTGGTGGCTCTGTAATTGGTCTGGTTATGGAAGTGATGAGCACAGGGGAATGTAATGGATTTCACCCGCTGATTCTAGAAACTGCTTTGGAACCACAGTCAGTCTTGAATCGCTGTCTTTGAACAAGTGAACCTTTTCATTGAAATGATTTCAGTAAAATAAATATGCTAAAGTTAAAACGGTGATTTTTTTTTTTTTTTTGGAGGGGGGTGGGGTGAGAAGTGACATCCAGTCAAGAAATATATTTGCTATTGTATTTACAGGTGACAAGAAGTACATTATGGGATCAACTGTTTCCACTGTTGATGCCACTGTCTTTGGCCATCTGGCACAGGCAATGTGGACATTACCAGGGACTCGACCAGAGAGACTAATCAAAGGTAAGCAAGCTTAAGTGATCTCTGATTAAAAGCTCTTGGTGGCATTTTCCATGTTTAAACTTGGAGTACCTTGGAATGACATTTTGAAGACTGCAGTACTTCAGCAGACTGTTCTTGCCTTTGATGTAGCATTTGTATCCTGTAATGTTTTCTCTTAAAATTCATAGTTTTCTCTTTAATGTYCTACACAGTAATTGTTTTTATTTCTGTACTTGATCTTTTGCCTGTTTAATGTGGCAAAGCCTTAAAGCATCTAAGGAGCGGATGCTGGGTAAAGTATGAGAAGACAGAAGGACAGCCATTAGCTAAATTTTACTGAGTACTTTCCTTGACAGTAGAACTTCAAGTGCTGTTGTCTCCCTGAAATGATAGCCTTTGCTGTCCTTGAAGATGGTGGGCAAGGAAGAAATCCAGCCTGACTCTTTTCCTCAAATAATGAGCACTTGAGATGAGGACATAAATATTGGCTATGTAGTTCTTCCCCTTGATGTCTGGGACATCACGGATAAAATTCTGAATGRCTCATGGCTATTTAGAAGGATTACTATGCTTGTTGAATTAGTTTGTCCCTGATGAAAACAAACAGAAGATAATAGATTGAAATACCCAAGCAGTGTGGTTGGTTCTCTGTACCCCTCCACCTACGCATGCTGTTATAAGTACAGGTTTTACATGCACCTCCCCTTTAATACGCTGTTATTTATTTATTTGTTGAGTTTTTAAAATTATTTATTCTGTAGGCATACGTGTTTATAAAGATAAGGCATAAGATACTGAAACTGGGARCAGCAGGAGCCAGTGGCCATATTAATTGTGAATTTATGTTGCAGGCAACGCTGCCATCTGGTGGTAGAAACCCCAAATTCACTGTGTTTAATAAGTTTATTGTGCTATTTGTAAGGTCAAATTCTGTCTTTAGGAGCCAAGTGTCTGTAATTAAGCAAAAGGTTATACTATGAAAACGTTACAGTATTAGTGTCTCGTCTCGATTTCTATTTGTAAAGGTTGAATTTGGCATACTTACTTTGCTATTTGTGTGAACATGTTTATTCCTGTGTAACCCTTCTTGTTGCATGTGGATTAATAATACATGTCTTAAGTTGCATTAAAGTTAAAAACACAGTTGCTAAGAGGATTGATGGCATCTTGAAATTTTGAAACCTTTGGAAAGACCCTRAACAGTTTGTTTTCARACACAGSTAATGTGTTTTTGCAYCATCAGGTGAGTTAGRGTATTATTGGYTGGATATATTTACTGAAGTCTGTTRTGTTGTGTTGCAGGTGAACTGATTAACCTTGCTATGTATTGTGAAAGAATAAGGAGGAAATTTTGGCCAGAATGGCACCATGATGATGACAACACTCTGTACGAATCTGAGGAAAGCAGCGAAGCAAGCAAGACTTACTCCCCTTTGCGGGACTTCAGTTTTTATTCAAGGACAGAAACATTTGATGAGGAAGGGAACAGTATTTCCCAGACCCCTGACACAGATTACACTGGACACTCCCTCTTTGATTCGGATGTGGACATGGATGAGTACAGAGATCATGAACAATGCAAGTGATATGTACAAGTGTCTCCCATTGTTCAGATAAGCTRTTTCTTGGGATCAGTCTGATTTGTTTTCTCCTTCAGGTCAGGAAGAGGTTTATACCACTTTGGAAGAGACCATTGTGTTTGACTCAGATGTCACATACTGCTTGGACTATTTCAGCTGTATTTCATTTTGTGTAACTGTTCAGGTGGACCAAGGTAAACACATTTAAAACACACATGGGCAAACTGGAGGTCTAGAGAGCAGCAGGACCTTTCAATCTATTTTTGTTCATGTTCAAAACCAGATCCCACATCCAAGTGGGATGGACTTCTGGGAAGTGGAGTATTTGTCACAACTGGTTTGTGTTGATATCTTATCTTTACAGCAGTGGGTTGAGGACAAAAATGGAASAGGTATGACCGGCACAGCTTTGTTCCATGGAAGACAGTGATTGATGCTGAAATGAAAAGCCTGGCGTTGGTTGACTGCCATCTCAGTGTAAGCCAGTGGTGTGCTGAGGTGCATCAGATTCATGCARCACCCTYGCCTGMATCAGCAACAGTGTGGCCAGCAGYRCCAGGGCAGTGATTGTCCCCCTGTCTCAGCACTGGTGAGACTACTGCACCCCAAATCCAGTGTTCTGTTTTGGGCCCTTCACTACAAGAAAGTCATGGAGGTGCTGGAGTGTGTCCTGAGAAGGACAATGAAGCTGGTGAAAGGAGCTGGAACACAAGTCTTGTGAGGAACAGCTGAGGAAGCTGGGGGTGTGTGGCCTGGAGAAAAGGGGGCTCAGGGGAGACGTTTTCACTCTCTACAACTGCCTGAAAGGAGAGTGTAGCCAGGCAGGTGTTAGCTTCTTCTCCCAAGTAATGAGTAGTAGGATAAGAGCAAATGGCCTCAAGGTGTGCCAGAGGAGGTTTGGATTGGATATTGGGAAAAAACTTTACTGAAAGGGTTGTCAGGCATTGAAACAGGCTCCCCAGTCCCCATCCCTGGAGGTATTTAAAAGCCACATAGATGTGGCATTTTGGGGATGTTGTTTGGTGGTGGACTTGGTAGTGCGATGGGCTTTATAGTGCTGGTTTGACACTTGGACATAAAGATCTCAAAGGTCTTTCCCAACCGAAAAGATCCTATGATCTGGCAAAGTTTCAGGGGAACTTTATTTGGTAGCTACCTGTAYTTTGGGTGCATATATTACAGTGTCTGCAGGAAAAAACTGCTCCCAGTTCTTTTGGAGACAGTCAGGGAAAGATGGAGGAAACATTCCTACAGAAAGGAGCTGGTTAGTGTTTCTTTTWGTTTGCAGGAGGCTGAAATCACTACTCTAGAATATTTTTATTCTGAAGGGAGATGTCACTGTTAACTTATCTGGAAAGTGTGTTGGCCAAATTTCTTCCATGTTTTTGACTTATTACTGCGATGTTTTTACTCCCTGCCCGTGACTGCTATCTGTTGTTTCTAGGCAAGGCTAAAGAGTTGGGATTTGTTKCTAAAAGCCTGTTGCGTCTCAGCAGTGGGTGCTTTGTGCTCTTTACCAACAGACAAACCCATGATGGTTGCAAAGCAATTTGGGGTATTAGTAGGCATAGGATGCTGTGTTGTGTATTGGCCCAGGCAATTGAATGCTTCATGGTTGCCTAGAAAGGTGCTTCAGTGGGTGCTGGGCACTTACAGTGCACAGTCCCTAAAGCCAGTGCACGGCAGGAGGTGAGATGAGACAGTTCTCCCAGCACCACCATGCGTGTGGGGAAATTCAGATCCTGAAAGCATGACCAGAATTGAATATAAGTTGCCTTTGCTAGCACACCTGTGAATCTGGAGCTCAAAATGATTTTACAGGTTCTGATATGCTTCATGGTCATGCCTCCCTAAATGCAGGTTASAGATGAGAATAAATCAATTGGATTTACTCACAACTTTAAAGTTAAGCACGTACATCAGTGTTGCTTGGCCATGATTAGTTGATTTTAGTAGAGAGAGCACATATCTGACATACTGGGCTGTTGTGTTTTTAAACATGCCTATAGAATTGGGTATTTGACTTGCACTTTGTTGGTGGCCTATTTAAAAATACTTTAATTGTGACTTTCTCAGTGAGTTACAGTTAGATGAATCAGGATCCCTCAGCAAAATTTGTATAATATGTTGGCTGTGTCATATTGTCTAGGAGCAGATAGGGCAGACAACCACTTTAGGATGTTAATTGTTGGTAGTTGTAGTAAGTCTGGAGCCTGAATTAACTCCAGCACTCAAAGAATAGCTGTCTCTCTTGGATCCTGGAATGCATCCTGCAGARGAAAGCGCTTGCTCTGGGGAAACACAGAGTTGTCCTTGCTTTCAAAGGCTGGCTGTCTTTGTCTGCAATGAGCCCCCATGTCTGTTCACGTATGAGAGCCACTGCAGTGAGAGCTGACAAGTGTGGTGTGAATTTACACCTGTTTCCCCAATTCCCTAGGCGTGCCCTTGGAGCCATGTTCTGGTCAATGTTGTAGGCAAGTATTTGCAAAGCAAACCAAAACTTAGAAGGAGGAAGATGTCATCCAGTTATGTGGGACCCTTCTCAGGAAACTGAGCCAAAAGACAGGGCACAAGGAGATAAGTCTTGGGCTTGAAAGTGCAGAGTGATGGCCTGAAATGCCTGTGTAAGTCCTTGGCCAAGTAGGAGAGATTTGATCTGCAAAAATGTAGGTATTGATATTTTGAATAAAAGGAGTCTGCATCAAAAGCTCCTATCAAAAAGCATTAGCACGTTGGAAATTCTGATGGAGGTGTTCTCATTTAGTGATGCATGTTTGAAAGCTGTGCTTTCTCCATTTGTGTGTGCTTGCAGCAGATGAGTCCCAGTCATTAAAAGCCCATCCAGAGTTCAGCAGACAGTATCACCTTTGTAACTTGGGTGGGCTGACTGATTTGTCTGTGGCAGTGCCCTTGGGACATGGGTTCACCAGAAGCCAGCAGTGTCACTGTGCCCTGCCACGTGCATGTGGCCAGACAGGATTTTGTGTGGCCGCAGGCAGAGCCAGAGGATGCCAATGCAGTGCACAGTCRGTGCCACCACAGTGTCACTGTCTGCCAGCACTCAGAGCTGCTGGCATGGCAGGTGGAGCTGATGCCACGGCATGGGGAGCTGTGCCAAGCATGGAGGTGTTTTGCAGGGCTCTGATTATGTTTGCACCTGGCATTCTGTGCTTTTGTTTCAAAYAACTGGTGTGCCTCAGTAGAGGCTGAAGCTCATCCTGACCAGCCAGGTGATGCCCTTGGAGGGGGTGAAGAAGAGAGAATTGGGAGGGTTGCTGGAGTAAGCAGCTTTTTGCTGTCAGCTGAGATTTTCAGGTTTCATCAGTGAGGTGAATGTATTTTGCAGCTTATCACATGCCTTTTTCTCTCTGAGGGGCTACTCAGCTTACTTCAGAGGAGAGGTTAGTTGGGAGAAGTTAGCCAGCTTTGTCCTCATGACAAGTACTCTCAGTAAAATTTATGGTTTTGATTTTGGCCATGTTTCAAATTAGAGGTGGAATTAGAAAATGACATCTCTTTARGGATTTATAGATGTAGTATTTTGCCCAGGCTGGGTGGAAAATCCTTGGGTTTATTTGTCCCTTCCAGAAAGAAATGCTGACTGTTAGACCACTTTAAAAGGATTTAATCCATGCTTTTTCTTGTGAAAGCTGTCTTGGTAAAGTGTTGTGGGGAAACAAAAAAAAGTAAAAAAAAAAAAAAATAGTTGAAAAAGTGTTCATTCATTTTGGTTTGCATGGAGAAAAAAAAAAAAAGATGTGTTTTCTAAAAAAGGGAACAATTGTTTCTGACTTTCCAAAATTTTGCTAAAAGAGCAACATGTTCTTAGTCCTGCAGTATCTGTTTGGGTTTTTTTCCCCATTCCATCATATTTGTTTTTAATGTTAGTGCCGAGAGGCTGTACAGAACTAAAAATAGTTGGAGAGYATCCTTATGTCCTTTTGGTTTTTTCTTTCTTTTTCATTTTTCCCTCCCACACTGATCAAAATTGCGAGTCCCAAGTAGGGATGCTGGAGGTCCTGACTGTGCTGCTGGTGGGGTTGAGGGTCAGCAGGTGTCTCTGCACCATGAAACCTGGGACAGCTGTGGATTGCCAGCTGCCTGGGAGGTGAGCTGGGATAGGTGATGGATGGGTGGAGCTGGAGGGTAATGGATGTCACGATGTCATGTCAAGGTGACACGGACACATAAGGTCTGTCCCWAGGTGGGGGTCCCTCTGCCACAGTCAGAAACTCACTGTGGGGTGATATTGGGAAGGGTTCAGGGGTTCTTGACACAAGAGTCAGATGTCAGGGAGGTCCCTGAGAGCCTCATAGGTGCCAGCACCAAACCTGGTCCCAGCCACTGCCCTGGCTCAGTTTGGGGTAGATGGCGGTGCAAGGTACTGGCTGGAGGAAAGCTGTCTTGGGGCTCCTCTGCATTATCCAGCCYCTCTCAAAATAGGGCAGGGGAGCCCTTGGATGGTCACTGGAGGAGGCAGTGGAGAAGGGGAGGGTGGGATACAGGGACTTGCCTAGTGGAGGGTCTCTGCAGGAGGACTCAGGCTGCACCAGCAGCCTGGCTCATGCCACTGTACCAGGGGTAGGACCCCTGCTCTGCTTGTGAGCTGGAGCATGAACTTCTATCTTGATGAGGAGACAGTGCCTTCCTCCTAAGGTTACTTTACCTTAAATACTGCCAGAGGCTGGTACTGCCTTTGTGCTTTGATGGCACTGCTTTAAGAGAATGAATAATTGTTCTGCCCCTCATTTGGCAAATGGGAGTTTAAAGARAGCCCTGCATTTCCAGTGCAGTTAGATTTGAAGCAGTCTGTTGGGCTTTTTTCATGTGAATTGCAGTGTTTGACTGTGTGACACTCTGTCATGTCAGAAGGGATTTGTTTACCCCTGTCGGTCTCATTGGCTCTGTCAGCAGAGCTCACTGTTACCGAGTGGGGGAAACAGGCGCTGGGATGTATAGGTCCTACAGAAATCCTGCAAATGTGGTGTTTGATTTAAAAACCAAACTGAACCTGATGTTTCAGATCTGGAGGACTGTTTCCATCCAATTATAGCACTGCAAGTAACACATTTTGATCTTTAAAACCTTGGCAATGTCCCTCCAGATCTATATTCTCTTTGAAAATATACTGCCTGAAATATTTCTGCAGCAACAGTTCAGGCACAAATTTGCTTTTGTCAGTGATGTCTGCTCAAGTAATCATGACAGTTTCATACTGTTTTCCTTGAAAGGGCTGTATCTGTCAGATGCTAAGCCTTACAAAATAT